GCAAAAATGTACAGCTGAATTTTCCAGGTATTGCTTGTGGGCAATACATAAAGCCTTAGCAAACAGTAGTTGCGAGATAAAAGAAGAACGGGAAAACAACTTTGTGAGTGAGAGGAGAGGGAACTACTATAGAGTGTATAAATAAAAACTAGATGAAGCCTATGTTCAACACTGTTCCTCTTAGTTTATAGTTGGTTTGCTTGTTTGTTCTAAAGGAATTGTTTTCTATCAGTCCCGTAAAAGTATGGGAAACATGCAAGAAAACTTGTTTAAGACAATACACCTATTTGCCGTATCTCAAGTATTTGTGTACTAGGTGCCCAGAACCAATCCCTCACCATCAAATCAATGGCTAGTTAGGTTTGCCAGCGATTTACATGAAAGCAGCAATGACCTTCACACTGTAATGGAAATAATTATTTGGCAGCGTAATGTACTTTCTGGTAACTATAGTAACTGCGTTTTGTCATCCCTGTTTTTTTCCACTTTTGTTAAGGATGGTCCTTTCGGTAACCCTTTTGTTAAGTTCCGATCATTTCCATAAGCTGGTAGCTAACTTGCACAGTTATTAAGTAGCTTCATCTTGACTGGATTTGTTAGCTGGATGCAAGCTGCCTTCACATATGCTATGTGTCTGCTTAACACTTTACTTTCATATATTTATATGAGAAAAAAAAATGGAATTTTACAGAACTGGCCTGAAGTAGAAAGACTATAGGCAACCTAATATTAAAATCTTACTTATTACATTCATAGGATTGTATGCAAACTTAAATCCTTTCAAATCAGATGTTAAGTTCTCATTTATTTTGTTACTGTGAGATAGGTTGCAATTCAGCTAGTTACAGGATTTCAGCTACCTTAGAGTGAGGTAGAGAAAACAGAAGAAATGTCTATATAATAAATATGATAGCACACCTAGTCCTAGGACATTCATTGGTGATGCAGATATTCCATATACCAAACAATCTAAATTCTGTGTTATGTTCTGTTTTCATTCTGTAACCTTTTATTATGCATTACTACTCTGCATGTAATTTCTCATTTCTGCAGGCCTTTTCACAAAGAGGTGCACCTAATATAGAGAAAATACGTAGTTACTGTTGCCCGCTTTTTGTCACAAGTATGTTTCGTTAGGAGGAAGATCTTTCAAGCCTTTATATGCAGAGATAAAGATGAGCAAAGGGAATCGAGGAGGGGAGGAAGAAAAAAGTTGCATTTTGTATACGTACTTATCATGGATGGCAAGACAGACTTCTGAGTAGAATCCAAAATTTGGGCACACTGGAGGTGTAATAACTTAGAAGTAATGGATTACAATGAAGGAATTTTACAGCTTGAGGAGAAAATAACAAAAGGATCACAGTCACAATAGCTGTTGTCACTATTTTTACAATTTGTCACTATTTTTACAATTTGCTAATCTATTTGCTGGAACACTGAAACACTTTATTCCCGGCACTCATCTTCATGAAATGCAACTCTTTTCCCTATGCTGATCTCTTCCCATTAAATGGGCCACTAGCAGTAGGTGGAAGTGTCCCTGCCTGCTTTGAAGTGTTGGCACCCCAGGAAAATAGGTGGAAGAGGTTAGGGCAGAATTATGGGAAATGGGCAGTACCTCAGTGCCTGTGGCTGCAGGAAGTGTAATTTATGTTATAGTTACTGATATAGTTACAGTTTCATGCTTTCCTTCTCAGTATCTACATAAGATACAGTTTAACTTGGTTTTGGGGATAGGTGAAAGCCTGAACTTTTCTCTTCTGAAAAAACTTCTATTGAAAACCCAGAGCGGGGAGAAACTGTGCCTGATTCTGGTTGTGACTTGAAGGGTATATGCAGGGGTCCCTCTGTCAAATCAAGAATGTAAATGCCCATATGACACAAAGCACTGATCTAGCATAAATTCATTGTCCATTGAGATATGTTCAGAAAATGACCACACAATGAAGTCTCTTGTCTTCCAGCAGCCAGTAAAAAGAGAGCCATAAGCCCCACAAAATTTGTTCCATGCTGTGAGGATGCAGTTTTTGCAGTCAGTTGGCATGCAGGTATTACTACTCTTGTGAATTAGGGAATTAGTCAAGCTGAAAACTCTCAGCTGTATCAGCTCTGTGACAGCTCTCTGGCAGGAGACATATATGCTGTTGCTGGGAAAGCGGGAAAAGTGGTGGCGCATGGGTGATCCGTGGCTGATGCACTTGGATCCATAGTATTAGAGCCACTGAAAGATAAAATCTAGTCGGAAAGCAGACTGGCATCAGTTTTATGGGCTTCTGTCTTCATTAGCTGTGCAGAAGCCACCAAGGCATGTGTGCAGTAAATAGCAATACCCTAATCAGCGAAAAGAGGAGGATGCAGCTTTTGTTTTGTGGTGCCATTCTTGGCAGCAAACACAGCTGTTGTCACAATGTACACCGTTTGTTAAAAATCCATTTACTTCCATAGTGTAAATTACAGGAACTGAAGTTGTTAATCCTGCTGCTTGTTCTTATCATTTCTTAGCGCTTCAGAAGGTGTTGATACTAAGTTAAATGATCCTAGAGTCACTGTGCAGTTATGGTTGATAGATGGGTACAGGGGCTGGCTTTTTCTGAATCTTGGCATGAGACTAATGTGAAGAAAAATTGACTTCTGTCTCCAAAAGGGAGAAATTTTGGCACAGAAGGTTGCCGAACTTTATTGCTTGCTCTACAGCAGTAGAGTTTTGAAGTGGAATTGAAAGATATAATGGGCTTAGGTGTAAAACTAAGACTTTGTTGTCTTGGCATGCAGTAAAAGAGGTGCCTGAACAAGGAAAAATGCATGGGGGGAGTGGAATTTTTCCACTAAGATTTGGAGATGCTGACTTCCAAGAAATATATTTTTGTAGTAATAAAATGAATGAACCAAGAACATCATTTCCTCTAAGGCTTGAGGGGCCGCTGTTTTATTTTCTCCTTGGATTCTGTTCCCAATCACAAAATAATAAAATTTGAAAACAACAACAAAACAAACAACAAAAAAAACCCCAACTGTTTACACTGAGAGATTCCAAGCTTTGTTTTGTTTTCATTGTAAGGCTTATGAAAATAAAAACTTGTCATTTGCTAAAGGAATATTGAGTAACTACCCTTTGTGGGGGATGTTAACTCAGAACAGTAATCCACAAACAGTGGGCTTTGGGTCAGCGATTGCCTGCAGCGTGCTGCTAGCAGTTTGTTTTAAAACAATGCATGATATCCTGAATGGTTTCATAACATTGCTTTTCTGTTAAAGCCATTGCTGTAATTGCTGCAGAAATGATGAGTGATTACTATTGGTGATTTGCTTGTGCGCTCCTGAATGGGAGTGGAAATTAACAAAATCCTCTAGGTAAGATCCGTACCATACTACTAGAAAGCTTTACCTTCGGCCCTCCAAAGGCTGTATGTATTCTTCAGAATTTGCAGAATTCCTACACAAATTACTTACGTGCCTGAAAAGTGATCCAGAGTTGTTCCCTTGGAATCGTATTACCAGTTTACGGGCCATTTTCTTGCGTGGCTTGTCCTCCCTCATTAAAAAAAGGCAACTACTGTGTTATCTGCTACTTTTTCAGCCCTTTTTCTCTCTGTCTGGCAGTGAACAAGATGGGTGTCCAGCTATGAACCAGAAGCTCTGTTTGTATGTGTATTGGTTTGATCAAAGTTGCATAATTACTGCTTTTGTTCAACATTAATCATTCATGAATAGAGGCCTTTCAAGGAAAGAAAAATGTGAATCTTCTTACCACACAAGCGAAATCTTTTTAACAATCAAAGTAGCACTCTAAGAATGGCTGTGCTGTTTGTTCCCACCAAATCACCTCTTCTGAACCATTATGCAAGTGCTGCCTGGTGTGCAGTCGTAGAGTCGCACATCTCTGTCTGCTTCCCTCCTAAAAATAAGAAGTTGCTATCACATATGCTGTTCTGAGTACTAAAATAGAAGTAACTCTGTACACTTGAACCCTTACTTATGTAATTCCCAGTCACTTCTTCTGAAATATTTTTTGTGCAAGTGCTCCAGTAGCTCTGACTATGGACCTTTTGTTGCTCTTCATGGAGGTAACCTCTCGCTTGTTTGGTGGATGAGAAGTAAAATCTAAAAACAGACACCAAAATTGTATCTTCAGAGAAATGAAAACATGCAAATATGCCTTACTAAGGGAATATGTTCCTTTCCTGTTAGTCATCTTTCTGCTTCCTGATGGTCTATTTTATTCACCGGTTACAACTTTTCTGAAGAATTCCTTGGTTGGGTAATTTCTTATTTTGACCAGTCCTACCGTTTTTATCCAACAAGCAGGATTGTCTAGTCAGCATGAGAAAGTTTTGGAGATGGAACATACAGCACCAGTCACAATATGGTGTAGCCCTTCTTTCCCTTCCAAGCCCTGTTCTTTACGTTGAACTGGCTCAAGTCCTTCACTCTGTCTACACAAGTCTCTTTTCTTGCCTCATTACTTCTGTTTCTTTCTGGACTCTTTCCAGTCGATGCACCTCTTGCTTGAAAGCAGAACTTAACAAATACATTTGTATCCAAATATCTTTTAAATATGCATTTTAAAAGTGACCAATATTGTGATCAATTAAGCCTCTGCATGCATATATAATCCTCTAGAGTTTCAGTGCTTTTTCCAGAAGGTAACGCATACTGTTTCCAAACTGCTCAAGGGATCTGAATGCCTAGTTGAACTGGAAGTATCTCAGTTGGAATCTCATGTCTAAATTCTTTGGGCAATTTGAAAAGTCTCCGTCTATACAATCAGAAAATTGATTTTTGTAGCTTTTGCTACATCATAGTGTGTCTTCAAACCATTCCTCTGCAAAGCAGTCATCTTTGTTTAAAAGTTCTCTTCTGTTCTCCAAGTCTAGGAGGTACAGATAACTAGGAATTGCTCTTATAAAAACGTTTAAGAGTTTAGTATAAAGTGATACTGATAAAGAACAGAGATCTGTTTGAAGCAAACTGATGCTTGAATTCTTATTTTTATGCAGACTGCATCCTCAGCTATTAAAGGTGCTATCCAGCTGGGAATAGGATACACTGTAGGAAACCTTACATCAAAACCAGACAGAGATGTCCTTATGCAAGACTTCTATGTAGTGGAAAGTGTCTTTCTACCCAGGTAAGGACAAGCCCATTCAATTTATTTGCTAGAAGAATTTCATAATGAAAGGCTAAGTGGATTTTACATAAGGATTTTTTTTCCCCCCTATTCTGACAGAATCGGATTAGAGAGTAAGCTTGTTTTAGGAGAACCTGAAAATTATCCTGTCTTCATATTGTCTTTGAAAATAAAGATAGTGAGAAAACTGGGAAGATCACACTTCAGCTGCAAATTTGAGGCTTGTTACAACTAGAGAAGGAAAATGTTTTCATTTACGTGAGCAGCTACTGCAGTTGAAAGGAATTTGTGGATCTATATGCAAACAAGAATTGTCTCCAACATTCATATGCATAGATTTCTCTCTCAGAAATTATACTTGATGATAATACTTGAAATTGTTATCAAAATTTATGAAAATTCAAGTCCTGCAGAGTTGAGAGTAATCTAAGAACTTAAGTTTAGGCATAAAATCTTAGCCAAGATTGCAGCCTGTGACTAGGCTCAACTCTTAGCAGCTGAATCCGGTGTGTACACTGTTATTGCCTTGCATTTAGCCACCTCAGTTTATATCATTGTGAAGTCGATGGGGTAGAATTTGTAATATAGTTCTCTTGATGGAGAAATGAAGGTCATGCTCATGTTTTGGGTTTAGAACCCGACGTATGATGCCATGTAACTTTTCCAAGTTGTGCTACATGGTGGGAAAGGGCAAAGAAGGTAGCTGAAAATATTTGAAAAACAGGATTACTTATTCTGTTCAGTATTGACTGGGTGCTTAGAAGTTCTGAGTACCAGTAGTGCCCATTATTTTCATAAGGGCATGCTATGTATGTGGCATTTCCTGAATTTGGGCATGCTTTCTATCAATATTTTGAAATTTGGTCCACATGCAGTTTGACTATTACTTCATAACCCTTTCTAATAATTTACAATCCTTAGAAATTACTAATATCGCTAAGATAAGAAGTTAAACTGACAATGGTCAAGATGCTTGAAGAAGAGAGATCAGCTTTGAAGTAAATTTATTCAATTCAACTCCTGATTTCCTCTGATCTGAGATAGTCTTTAAGGAGAAGAAAAAGTATTTCTTACATGGAGTTAAGCTCTTACATGACGTTCTGTAGTTCATAGTAATGGAGGATATTGGTGACTTATGTCCTGGTGTTAACAACAGGTTTGTACACAATTTCTGTAGTCTTTCTTTTGGGTAAATATAAATTTATTACAGTGTCTGAAAACATATGCACTTAGTTAATCTCAATGTTTGATTTGTTTAAAAAATCAGAATTGCAGCTGAGAAATTGCAGCATTTACGTATCCTATAGCTAAGCTGTAATTGTATTGAAAAATGGAGAGAGACAACATATTTGTAGAAGTGTGTAACTGTGGCAGATAGCTATGCCTGCTTCTATAGTCCTTTGTTTGGCTAGTCTACCAGCTTCTGTTGTTCTTGAAAATAAATGAAACGTACGTACTACAACTGTTTAATAGGATGATTTTGGAAAAAAAATCAAATCTTTATCTTTTTTTAAACATATTTTTAAAGGGACGAGTAAAATAAAGCAGTTTGTAGTCCGTAGCATCACATGTCATCTCTCCTATGAAACTTATGTGCGTGTTCACTTAAAAACAAAATTTCGCTGTTAGGTTGGTGTTGGTGTCAAGGGAGAACTGAGAGAGATGCCTTCTAGCTTAGAAAAGAAAAAAGGGCAGAAGGAATCTCCTGTTCATACTAGCATATAATTTATTATAAAAGCTTTAGTAGGACCTTTCTGGACAGTTTTGCAAAACAAAGCGTGAGGAAGATGGTACAAATGAAAGTAATGGCCAGGGCAGCAAATGATGTGACTTTGATCTGACTTCATTTCTTGTATAGATATCTAGAAAGCAAGAGTACGTAATGAAGTGAGTCATCTTGACTGCAACAGAGAGTGTCTCTATAAAGAGCATGTGCTGGTAACAGTCTCTGTGGAACTCAAGAGTGGCCATCCTTCTCAGTCTCTTAAAACCAACCACGACACTTCCATTTCTTACACTGAGAAATTTCAAAGTCCTACTCTTGTCTTAATGCAAAATGCATGTTCATCTGACTAAAATGATATCAATCCAAAATGGAATAATTAGCATAAATAGTAATAATTTAGCATTGCACATGGTGATACAGGCTTCTTTCCTGTCACTGTGGTATTTTATGGGACACTTCTGAGTTATATCTGCAGGTAGCTTCATTACCTTAGTTGGAGGTAAAAAGAAGTAGTCAAGGTTGCGTGCCCTTCCGGAATGCAGCTGAGCTTTACAGCTATAATCCAATTTATGGAAGAGGAGCTGAACCTCTCCCATCTGCCTTTTTTTGTTTTGTTTTTACTGCTGGTAATTTCCTGAAAGAGACTAGTTGAACAGTTATACCAGTACACCAGCTACAGGTACACACATTTTAGCTGCAACCCCGAGGAGGGTATTAAGTGATGTTCTTCTTGCTGTGGCCAGTTCAGAGCAATCTTGCCTCTTTGCAAGCTGCCCTGCTCCAGCCTTCCTCCATGTTTTCCCTGTTGCCTCTTGACACATTCAGGTCTTACAAGTGTCATAAGGGCAGTGAGAGCAGAGGACAGTTGTTTTGCAGTCATAAGCATACGTGCTGCCTTGACAGCAACAGGAGCACGGCTTTAGTGGCACTCGTAAAATAGACCTGAGCTACTAGAAATGCAGTGAAACAGCAGCTTGCATTCCAGCAGCCAAAATAATGTATCTGTGTCCTTTCAGGGAAAAAATAATGAACAGTGTTCTATAAATTTAGTCAGGAACTGAAAAGAAATAGCCTCTGCCCATCTCTCAACTGCTGAAGTAAACTTCAGTCCGGTCTGTACTTCAGGTTTGGTAACCACAGCAAAATACCCTCAGCAGCGTTCAGAACTCGTGAAGGAGGGAGACCTGGCGGTGGAGGGGGAAAACATTTG